TGATACATGCCAACACTACAACCTTCATTTTAACACAGGGCTTTCTTCATCTCAGTATTTGCTTATTTTGGTATAGCTTACTGAAAATGCCACACCACAAGGACCAAGAAGTGTTTGTAGAGGATGCCACTGCACGCTCTTCATAATGATTTGAAAAAAATATTATCAAGCATGCAGCACCTTCCATTTTAACTTTGTGAGGCAGAATCACAGATACTAGAATGCAACACAAAGGTAAAAGTGGATGACAACTGGATACACTAAAGCAACAGGCACACCCCAGTGCTGGGGCAGCACAAAGCAGCAGAGTGCTCCTGCATCTCACCCATAAACAGATATTGACTTATCGACCTGGAAGAAAAGTTGTGCTGCCCAGGACATCACCGGGGAGCCCAAACCCCACCTCCAGCTCCCGGTAATTCAAAAACTGCTTTTGGGGTCTTCTCCCAGCTTTCCCAAAGCAGACAGTCTGACTCAGCGGGGAAGGCAACAGTGCCGGAGCCCTTCCTTGCACCCAGCACTGTGTTCCAGGCTTCGCAATTCTCTGGGAAGGGGTATTGCCAGGGCCAGGTATCCCCGTGGGTGCATCAGGACCCGGTGTCCAGACACCCTCAGCTGTACAGCAGCAGAATTGGTGCCTGAGTCTGGGGAGCTCCAGAGCTGCTGTGCTGCTGCAGCTGTGACTGCACTGGTTCCCAACCCAGCCTTAACAATTGGACTTGGCAGTCATTAACTTAGCTGAGTAAGAACATCATTTCTAATAGAGCTTGTCCACCAGGTTTTCAGCAATCTTAACTGCATGAAATCTGATGATATCTGGTACACCAAGCAGCCTAATTTTTCCAGCTCAGCTGAACATTTGCCATTTGCATACACTTTGCATTAATTTTCAGCTGCAACATCTTCCCTCTTTGCTGCATCTTCCTTCCTGCTTCCTTCTCTGTTTGCACAACATCTCACTGCTTTCTTCCTGTGTTTGGACTTTGCAATCCCCACATCTCAAATCCACTTCCACTTATCTCACTCCCAGTCTTTGCTGGTACCACAGGCACAGAGCTCTCTTCTTTGGTTTTGCCATCCTACTCCTTTTCTTGCTCTTGGTTCCACTTTCTCTCATCTCCTTAATTGCCTCATGCTCATTTTACCTTATTAATTGCCCACTCTTCTCTGGCTCTTTCTCATTTCAATAAATGCAACTATTAATACTCCTATTGTTTACAAGCCACCAACTCCTCCATCATTCCCCTCCTCAGCTGGACAGGGGAGAGAAAATATAATGAAAGCTCATGAAAGCTCAAGACGGGAGAGATCACTCACCAGGCACTGTCATGGGCAAAAGAGACTCGATTCAGTGAAAAGCAATTTAATTTATTAAAAATTATATCAGAGTGAGACAATGAGAAATAAAAGCTAAATATTAAAACACCCCTCCCATCTTCCTGGGTTCAGCTTCACTCCTGATTTTCTCTACCTTCTCCCCTTTCTGCAGCACAGAGGAATGGGGAAGGGGGGTTGCAGCCAATTAAGCACGCATGGTCTCTGCTGCTCCTTCCTCCTCAAGGGAAGGACACTTCACTGATCCCCTGCTCCAGTGTGGATTCCTTTCCAGAGACAGTCCTCCACAAGCTTCTCCAATGGGAATCCTTCCCATGGGTTGCAGTGCTTCATGAACTGCTCCAGTGTGGATCCCTTTCCAAGGGGTGCAGACCTTCAGGCTGCTCCAGCATGGGTTCCCTGTGGGATCACAAGTCCTGCCAGCAAACCTGCTCCAGTGTGGGCTCTTCTCTCCATGGGGTCCACAGGTCCTGCCAGGAGCCTATTCGAGTGTGGGTTTCCCACAGGGTCACAGACTGCTTTTCGGCATCCACCTGCTCTGGCATGAACCACAGGGGACTGCAGGGGGACAGCTGCCTCATCATGGTCTTCACCACGGGCTGCAGGGGAATCTCTTCTCCTGTGACAGAAGCATCTCATCCTCCTCCTTCTGCCCTGACCTTGGTGTTCCCCTCACATATTCTCACTCCTGTCTCTGGCTGCAATTGCGCTTTTTCTTACTTTCTTAAATCTGTTACCCCATAGGAGCTACCACCATTGCTATGAGCCTGGACTTAGCAGGCGGCAAGTCTGTCTTGGAGCTTCCAGGCATTAGCTCTGTCGGACACAGGGGAAGCTTCTGGCAGCTTCTCACAGAAGGCACCCTTGAGGCTCCTCCACTACCAAAACCTGGCCACACAAACCCAGTACAAATATGCACCTCTATTCTCTTTGCTTTGTGAGCTCAGTGAAAGGCTGAATTCTTCCTCATGAAACTCCTCCTCCCTCGTCGGGCCCCTGCCCCCACATTCAGTCAGCACTGTTTTTGTGGAAGCCTCAAAATGACCTCCTCTTAGGCAGCTCCAGCTCTCCCCTCCATCTCCCACCACCTGTCAGGCATTTGCCACAAGTCAGCTCTCCCTGAGAGGTCATTCCCTCTGTCATTCAAAGCTCTGCCCTCCCCTTTCCCTTCCCTCGCTTGACCACCATGCCTTTTGGAGACTCCTCTTTATCTTGCTCTCCAGACTCTAGAATGGAGTTCTTGTCCTCTTTCTCTTCTATGCCTTATCTCCATGTAATCCCTACCACAAACATAAATTCACCTGCCAAGCAGCTTAAAAACCCAGTGCTCTCTTCAGATTAATCTCTAAAAGAGAGATCAACCCAACCAAAAGTAAAAGGGTACAGCATAGATGTCTCTACCTGCAATGGCTCCATCTAGGCTCCCATTACAGCTAATCCTATAGGAGGTAAATAGAGCCAGCCAGGACAGGCACTCAGGAAAAAGCTGTTTCCTTTCCCCATCTAAGAAGGGAGTCCAGCTGAATGGATTGATGACTGTACCGTAGACACTTAAAACTGGGCAAGATGAGTCATAGACCCTTTTTTCCAAGCACATTCTTGCTCAGCTCCCTGATGCCTGCTCAGATAAGCCTTGCTGTCAGTTGAAGCTCAAGCTTGGCTAAGCCAGCCCACTTCATCCCATGGGCCCTCAGCTGCTGTTTAGGCCAATGTTCACTTATGCCCATGACAGGGGGGACAGCCTTGGTCCAGACTTCTCCTCCTGTCCTTATTCAGATCATACCCAAACCTTGAAAGCTGTGTTCCACAAATAATTGCTGACACAAAGCCCTTCTGTCTTCATGTGTGGAGCTAAGGTTGTCATCCACGCTGAATTGCCACTTTGAATTGTGCTTACTGCCAAAGCACTTGTCCTTCCCTCAACAAATGCAGCCCTGTCCTGCACACAATCACTCTACATGTCTTGCAAAGGATATGGGTCTGGCTGGTCCTCCCGTGCTGCCATGCCTATCTTTGCATGTCTCCCTTAGCTCCCTACTCCCTGTCACATCAGATGAGAGCCGCTTGTCCTCGTTTTTGAGCCCTTCCATAGCCCACCCCAGATCTGTCTCTCTCACGCACAGCCTCTTGTGTGTAACACTCAGCTCTGCCATCACCCATCAGCTGGTCTCCACCAGGGCCAGGCTTCCTTCTCTGCAGGCAAATACTGTCTCACTGACACCCCTGGCATGGTGGCTTCCTTCTCCATGACCTGTGCTCTTGTACGATACAAATTAATAGATCTCAAGTGGCAACAGCAGCCACCAAGTCACAAAAAAGATTTGCATAATAGTATCAAGAATGGTGACTCCGCATTAAGAGGCATAGCTGTAATTTAGGGATAATGTATGCTGGGAGAAATTAAATGCCTTTGCCATCCCTTTGATGATGCTGCCACTTCTTAGAAGCATTGCAAATTTCATAGAATCATAGAATGGCTTGGGTTGGAAGGGACTTTAAAGGTCATCTTGTTCCAACACCCCTGCCATGGGCAGGGATGCCTTCCACTATACTATTTGTTTAGTAATACCTGAAAATATTTTTTTAAAGTCAAAGAATATTTTGACCACATTAAAATATATACACTGAAAGGAGTAGCATTAGACTTGCACTTTTGACTTCATACTTACTTTCTCTCCTTTCAGTGACTAACAGTGTAACATCAATTATATATTAATTTGTTGGGTTTTTACATACAATTTCTTATTAAAATTAACAGGAAAACTGCAGCTAAATAGCCTACCCCTTTAAATCCTTTTAAATGGGTGACCTAATGACTGGCCTTCCAGTACCTGAAGGGAACCTACAAGAAAGATGGACAGGGACTTTTTATGAGAGCATGACAGGGGAAGGGGGAATGGATCCAGACTAAGAGTGTAGGTTTAGATTAGATGGTAGGAGGAAGTTTGTTACTGTGAGGGTGATGAGGCCCTGAAACAGGCTGCCCAGAGAAGCTGTGGATGCTCCATTCCTGGAATGTTCAAGGCCAGGCTGAAAAGGGCTTTGAGCAACCTGGTCCAAGTGGGAGGTGTCCCCACGCGTGGCAGGGGGGCTGTAACTCGATGATCTTTGAAGTCCCTTCCAACACAAACCATTCAGTGATTCCATGAAATCCAGACAGACCGCGGGGGGAAGGGGGAGGAGTGGCTCCTGCGGTGGGACGGACACCGGTAGGCCGGGCCAGCTCTCCCCCAGCCGGCGGTTCCCCACGGCGGGGCAGCAGAGCACAGCCGTCCCCACGAGCTGCGCTCTGCGGGGCGCCGGTCCGGCCGGCCCAGGAACTACAGCTCCCGGCGTGCCCCGCGACAGACAGCGGCCACAGGGGCGGGAGCGGAAGCGGCCGCCGCGCGGCACGCCGGGATCCGCAGTCCGGAGGCCATCACCGCCAGCGCCCGGGGCCGTGTCCCGCGCATTTGAAAATTCCCGCGGAGGCTCGCTGCGGATCTCGCGAGAAGTCGGCCCGTCCCCCCCCATCCCGTCCCGCCCCCCGCGCGGCGGGTGAGCGAGCGAGGTGGGTGCGCGGGCGCGCGGGCCGGGCCAGGCCGTGCCGTTGTCGCCGCTGCGGGAGGGAGATGCCACCGGCACCGGCACCGGCACGTACCGGGACTGCGGGCTCGGCTGGGCTGGGGGCAGCGGCGCGGACAGGAGGAGGTGGCGGAGGTGGCGGCAACGGCGACCCCCGCCCGCCCGTCTGCCTTCGTTCCTCCCTTTCTTTCTTTCCCCCCCCCGTACCAGCGGGTACCGGGCGCTCCCGAGCCGCATAGGCCGGCACCGGCGCTGGCGCAGCGCGGGCCCGCGGGGGCCTCGGGCGGGCCCGGCCGCCCGTCCCTTATGTAAGTGACCCCCGGGCTGCGGCGCCGTGTCCGCCACACGTGCCCGGCCCCCGGCGGCGGGGGAGGCCCGGGCGGCGCGGCCTGGGCAGCGCACATGGGAGGCTCCGCAGCCGGGAGGCTCCGTCAGGCTGGGGGGCGTGGGAGATGCGGCGGCTGCCGCCAGGAGCTTTCCCTCCTGCCCGGCCACCCGCGCACGCCCTCTGTTTTCGCCCCTTCCGTCGTGTTTCTGGAGGGTTTTTCTTTACTTTTTTCTAATTCCTCCTTCCCCTCCCCCGCCGGGCTTCGGGGTTGTATTCCATGAGGAGGCGGGAAATGCGCTCCGTGCGTAGAGCGGCGATTGCGGGACGTGGGATGGGTGCAGTGGGGAGGCCACAGCTTTAGAAGGATCCAGTGCGATTTGTGGGGGTCTCTGGGTCTTTGCACGAAGCAAAGCATCACGAAGCAGAGTTGCTGCTGGCTTAAACAAAAGTGCTCGGTGCCTTTCTTAATAAACTGTGAGTCCACGTCTGGAGCTTCTGCCAATAGAATGCTTGGTGTCAGTCTTTGGGTCTAATGATTGCTTCCTGATCGTGTCTGGGGAAACTGGAGGAAACTGAGGGACCGGTTTGTGTCGGGATGGCTGCACCCCGTTTGGGGTATAGGGCTGAGCGTGGCCGTGCAGGTGCCTTTGCAGGGCCCATGGGTCTGGCTGGTTGTGTCAGCCTTGGCTGGCAGCTGTCCCATGCGCTTGGGCACTCAGCTCTGTATCTTGGGGAGGACAGCTCCTCATTCACGTGCTGCCTCAGCTCTCCTTCCTGCATGGATTTGCCTGGGATTATCTTTTTCAAGCGTGATCAAGCTTCTATGAATTTTACATCTTCTTAATAAGGTGTTGGACATAGTTTTGGAGGAGCAGTGGTGACAGGCCTTTCGTGGTGTGACGCTGGTTTGGTGGAGAGAATAGAATCCTTAAATTGGCAAGAGAGAGTCACCCTGTTGCATGGGTTGCAGGTGTTTCTGTAGTTGGTCTTGTCAGGTGGCTGGTTGTAAAAACCTGTTGGAGAATTAAATGTTCCAAATCCATCTGGATACAGCCTTGGGCAGCTTGCTCTAGGTGGTGGCTCCAGCAGTGTGTTTAGAAGAGGTGACTGTGTGTGATTCTGGCAGATCTTCCTCTTTGATGTGATTCTGGAATTTGTGCTGGGAAGGGCCAGCAGTGGGATGGCATACCAGTGTGGTATGCTGGAAATGTCTTCCAAAATACAGTAGTAGAACAAAGGAGCAAATACAGAGATGAGAGATGGCAGCAAGGTCTCTCTTTTGATGTCAGTGAAGTCAACATGTCCTGTCAAATCTTGTCTTCAGCTGTGACTGACCATATTTTTAGCTTTTTCTTCAGTGAGCCCATAACATTGTTGGCCTTTTAAACTGATTTTTGTGGAATGCAATCAGTCAAAACTCACATCTCAGAACTCTGACTTAGCTATGTGTAATTCTGCTTGAACACACAATTTCTCTTTCTCTTTCTTTTCCCTTCCTCCCTCCTCCCCACTCCTAAACTTTTTAATCCAAAAATTTATGACATTTTTGTCTTTGGAAATAGTTCATGGTGCTTGGAAGTCAGAAGTTCCTAGGGTGAAAAAGAATGGTCATTTTGGCACACAGACTGCATTGCTATAGGATACAGCTGGGAGGTTGAATTCTGGCTTATTCCTGAAAATTGAGTAAGCATGTGACATTTTACCCTAATCTGATTTCTAACAGAAGTAAGAATGTGATTGTAGTTATTGTTTCAGAGAGCTGAAATGCAGTTGCTGTTGGATATATCTCTTAAAGGTGAAAGACTTCTTGCCTTTAATCTATGTCTAAGTGTTTCCCCTCTGTTTTGATTTCCTAGCAGTTCTTGGTTTAACTGAGCGAAATGATGCAAGGATAGCATCCTTATAGAGAGAGCAGTATATATTGTTCATAATTGATTATAGAATTTATCAACCTTGTTCCATGGCTGATTTCTGAAAACAAGAAGAGGTGTTTAAAATGGTCATTGCCTTACTGGAGCTAAACTGAGCATGCCTGATGCTCTAGTATTTTCATTTTCTACAAAAATGGTTTAGGTCTTGGAGTTCTACTTATTTGATGGTTCTTACTGGTGTTTGTGGATGGATTTTTTTAATGTTGTGTGCAGGAGTAAGCTGTGTTAACATACGAGCTTTCTATCAGGGAAGAATTCTTTTTGGGATAGTGAGGAGCTTGTTTTTTAAACTCAGATCTCCCCAGTAGAGGATGTTTGAATTTGATTTCCAGTTTAGCCACGCGAGGTTCTGTGCTCTTGGCACAGCAGGTGGGCAGTGTCTCAGGCAGGACCACTCAGGGTGACTCATGGAGTGCACACAGCTGAGAAGTTTCCTTGCATGCTCTTACCTGCCCTACTGCAAGATATTTGTTCACTCTTTTCTTAAAACTGTCTTGTTATTATTGTGGTATATGGTATTAATAATCATATACTTGCCACACAGACATCTCCATTCTTATTTACAAAAAAAGGAAAAAAAAATTATTTGCTCCAATAATTCTGGAATTTTGTGCTCTTTTCTAAAATTCCTTAGTAAATGTTGTCAGAGTCAGTGCTCTGTCAGGCTGGAGAGATGGGCTGACAGGAACCTTATGTAGTTTAACAAGGGAAAGTGCCAAGTCCTGCACTGGGGAGGAACCACCCCAGGCACCAGTGTGTGCGGGGGCCTGCCCAGCTGGAAAGCAGCTTGACAGAAAAGGCCCTGGGACACCCAGTTGGCCATGAGCTGTCACTGTGCCCCTGCAGCAAAGAAGGCTGATGGTATCTTGCCTGGGCTCATGGGGAAGAACCTTTGCCAGCAGGTGAAGGGAGGTGATCTTTTCTCTAGTACTGCACTGCTGAGGCCTCAGCTGGAATGCTGTGTCAGGTCTAGGCTCACCAGACTCTCAAGATGGGGGATGAAGGTACTGGAGAGAGTGCAGCGAAGGGCCACAGTGATGGTTAGAGGACACTGGAGAAACTCTTCTCTGAGAAAAGGCTGGGAGACTGGGACTGTACAGCCTGGAGAAGAGAAGGCTCAGGGGTTCTCATCAGTGCACGTAAATACCTGAATGGAGGGTGTAAAGCAGATGGAGCCAGGAACATTCCAGTGGTGCCCAGTGACAGGAACACAAGCACACGCTGAAACATTTCAGAGATGCTGTTCATCAACCAGATGTGTCTGAATTAGTAAGTTACTCCTAAAATATGCCCACTAAATTGCAACTAAAGTAAGCAAGAATGCTGGTCAAATTGTGGGGCCTTTTACTCTCTGGAGTCCCTGGATACAGTGCAGAAGTTGTCGCTTGAAACTGATGGCATGTACCAAAAGAGAAACTCAGCAAAACTACTGCAAGTGAGTTGTCCCACTTGGAACCTGATCTGTGCTAGTAGTGAATGCTGGCAGAGTGGTCAGGCTGGCTGGCTGGCTGCAGTACTGGCTTTGCCATCAGCAACATTTTTGTCAAAATGTTGACTTGTGCTTAGTGCAGGACCCTGACTTACCCTTCCTGTGCTTCACGTGCTCATTGAGTCCTGCTGGCAGCAGGTACGGGAGCACAACCCAGCACTAGTGACCTGTGTATAACATCTTGAGATGTCATGACGAAAGCAGTACTGTTTGAACAAGACAGTTGAATTTGTCTTGTCTGTCAGAGGCCTTTTCTGTAAGCCAGATGACTTGCAAGACATAGATACCTAAAGTAATTTGTATTTCCATGCATATGGATAATCTCATATTTAGCCACCTGTTTAATCCAGTAAATTAGTTCAGCTCTTCAGTTTCTCTAGAAAAAAAAAAATTGTCTTGACATACTGAAATGTGAACTCTTGTGGAGCACCTGTATGAGCATGAAACTGTCTGAGAGGCGTAGAAATTTTTTCTCTAATACTGCAGAGATGCAATAAGGAAAGCCAATAGGAAGGAAGGGACTGGAATAAGAAATATAAGGATTTCAGCAGAGAAAAAGAACAATATTTTGAACTGTTGTGTTATGTTCACCTCTTAAGTGTATGTAAAAATACTTCTAATTGATGAGCTGTGAAAGTCAGTATTGCTTGAAAGTATTACCAGTATGTTTTTTGGAAGAATTTGAGGATGCATTTGGTCAAGAACGTTGTATTCTTGAATGTCAAAAATAAGCATGCAGAAAGTAAAGAAGACATGACTGATCTGTGACATCTACTAGAAGAAAATTGACAAAAAATAATAATGTATTAAATCAAGGGAAAGGGCAGAGAGTTGTAAGAGGTACAACTAGAAGCTTTTTAAAATACGTTTTTTCTGAGATCATATCTTGCTAACCTGTATGAGTAAGCTTGAACTTGCTGTGTTGTTCTCTTCCCTGTTATTTATGTTGTGTATCCCTCTGTGTCACTTTTTGTTGATCTCATAGGCATCAGAAAAGCTCAAGATTCTCCTTTTGCTCTGCTGTGAGATGAAAAACTGTCCCAAGTGCCATTTCTTTTGAGCAAAAAAGAGCTACAAATGATGCATGGGAGATTTGTCACTGCATACTGATGAAGCTTGGGTCAGTCTCAAAGATATTTATGGCTGACATGAGTCTCTTTGCCTTTTTTTCTTTATTATGGGAGAGATTGGTCAATGCATACTGATGAAGCTTGGGTCTCAAAGATATTTATGGCTGACATGAGTCTCTTTGCCTTTTTTTCTTTATATCCAGTGAAGAATGCGAGACCTAACGGCTCAGGTAACGAGCAGTCTGCTGCAGTTTCCAGAGGTGACTGTTGAGGCACTTGGGGAAGATGAGATCACCCTAGACTCTGCACTGTGTGGGAAGTTTTCTGGAGGTGAGCATTTTCCTTTAAACTTGGATTTGATATGAAGTTGTTATTGCCTGAAGCACAGGATCATGGCATCAGGTTGTTCTGTTAAGTCAAATGCATCAGGTTCTGATAGTGCTAAGAGGATATTTTAGCAATTAGAAGCATTGAAAGTGCCACAGCCTGCTCCAGTCCTGTGCTATTTAAATAATACAGCTGACCATGCCCTCCTCAGTTCTGAATGAAATAGAAGGCAATTTTCAAGGAAGAAAGTGTTGTTTTGGGATGTATTCTTTTTACCAGCTCAAGCTCTATGTCCATCATAACATCGCATGCCTATGAAATAGTTACAGAGACACAATATGCTCCTTTTTCTTCTCTAGTCTAAATAAAAAATGGAAAGAGGGGCAGGTCTGTTAAGTGCTGCCCATGTATTTCCAAGGTATTTAATAGGATGCAATTGAGGACCCAGTGAGAGCTGCTGACAACAGATTAGGCAGTTGACTTTCTAGGTGATCTGAAGGTAGAGCTGGATGCCTGTCTGGATGTCTGGGCTGCTGTTAAGACCAGGTAGAATCTTACCTGCCTGACTGTAGTTGTAGTAATGGAGCTCATCCTTCCTTTGAGCTTGAAGTTCCTCAGTAAAGGAGCAAGTGTTAAACTCTTGAGTGAAACACCACTTGTTAAATTCTTTCTGGGATCAGCACATATAAAAGTTGGAATTACACATGCAGTGCCCATGTTAAGATGATTCCCTGCCCAAATCCCTTCCCAGAGGAGGCGTGTGTCAAGCAAAATTCTTAAACTGGAACTGAATTGGTTTAGATGGGCTGTATTTGAAGTATGCTTTGAGACTTGTATTCCTGTACATATTTAGGTGTTTTATTAGCAAAACCAGGCTGAGTATGGTGTACAGAGTAGAGCTTAGTCTACTGTAATCTTTATCCCAAAGAGTCAGTGTTCTTGAGTGCAGGAATGACAAGTACAAATGCAAAAGAACTGTGTTACTAATTTTAAGAAGTTCTGATTGAGGATTGGAATGGGCAATTTAAGAGAATTGTGGCCTTCCTTCCTTTGGTGCATGAGATGGGAAGGCCCAGTGCCAGTGCTGTTGTTTCAGTTCTTGTGCTGGGTGTTTGTTGAGTGCTGTTCGTGTTGCCTTGCAGGCAGAAGCGGCCTGGCGTGGCTGGCGTGCGGGCCCCAGCTGGAGGTGGTGAACTCGGTGAGCGGAGAGCGGCTCTCTGCGTATCGCTTCAGCGGAGTGAACGAGCAGCCTCCCACCGTCCGCGTGGTGAAGGAGTTCTCTTGGCAGAAGAGGACTGGACTCCTGGTTGGGTTGGAGGAAACAGAGGGAAGCGTTCTCTGTCTGTACGACCTTGGGATCTCAAGAGTGGTTAAAGCAGTTGTTCTTCCAGGAAGGGTACGTATCTTTTTGGGGAAATGAAGGTTTTGTGTTGTTTGGTGCTGCATAGTCTTGTTTCAGGAAAAGCTCTTGTGAATCTCTTTGTATGACTTAACCTTTTTATATTGCATTAACATACTGTCACTTCAGATTATCCAGTCAAGAGAGCCTTGGTGTAGAATCTTGGACTTAGCAGTTGCATTATCTTTTGAGTTTACTGATAGTAAAAAAAAACATTGTAAAGCACATACTGATGAAATTCTCCACTTAAAAAAAAAGGCATTGAAAACCTTTCTTTTTTGTCAGAGCAAAAATGAAAACCCCACTTAAATTGTCTGTAATATACCTTTTCTAAATGGCTAATTTCTGTCAGAAATACTGTCCTTAAAGTATCTCTGACTCCCATCATTTTGCTATTAATGACTTTGACACATGCCCATCAATCTCAGACTAGGAAGCAGGTGATGTGGGAACAGAACAGATTTTTCTGTTAACTTACGATTGGAAAAAGATTTTAGTGAATTGTCTGTCAGATAGTTGGCAGATTTACTTTCAGTCTGCAGTCCTTGAGTCTCTGCTTGTTGAATATAGTGCTCGTGTAGATGGGATACACTGGTGTAATGTTGATAATTTTTTCTGCTTTCTGTAACCCTTGAATTCAAATGATGTTGTGTCCCTTTGTCTTATTAACACAACGGAAGCAAGAATCAGATTAAGTTATCAGAACATCAAGATTCACTGTGTTTTTATCATCTTAGAATCTGCAACAAGTGAATACTTATTTACTACTGAGTTTTACCTAACTTTATTTGGTTTGACTTGCTAGAGTACAGGTCAAAGTCTTGATAGTAGTAGTAAGCATTTGTGTTAATTTCTAAAGATACAAGTCATATCAGTGTTCCAGTGTGTTGTTTTGCTATCTGCTTGAGTTGTAGATGGAAAGGCAGGCTGTGTGCTAACATGAACTTAAAATAAGTACATTATGTTTTGGTAAGTGATGTTGGTGGTTAGGTTTTATTTCTTCTATCTAAGTAAGCTAGGAAAAGCAAAGGTTAAGAACTAAGGATTATGTTGCATGTTGAATCAGTAGCTGTGGAAGTGTTTTGAAATAGTAGCTAGTTCCAACAATCAGTCATATTACAGTTGTTATATACCACAAAAACTGATTCAGGACAGAGATGAAGCCCTGCAGGAAAGGGTTGTTGGATGATGAAGGGTAGGAACTTTGAAATAAAGCCAAAGTTGCTCTGGAAGTTTTGCTCTTATGCCCTGAAAGCTCATGAATACAAGTATGTTTGGTCTGTTCTTGTGCTGTATTTCCTATGTCTTTCGTATTGCATTCAGTCAGCATAGTGAGGACACAGGTATTGCTAATTGGAGTCTTAGCTTTCAGGCTGCGAGTGGGAGTAAGGGTAAGCAAAAACTAGTGGATAAAACCTGCACTTGACTGCTGACAATATGTTTTGAATTCTTTCAGAAACATATATTTGCATATTATGTAATGTATAGTTAGTGGGGGATTGATTTGCATGAATGTTTCTCTGATTTTCAGATTGATTATTTTTAAAGGTAAAATGTCAGTCTTTTCTTAACATCACTTTCTGCAGTTTGGTCATTACTCTTTTAAACCTTTAATGAGCACTGTGTTTTCAGGACTATTTTCTCAACAGGTATAAATTCTGTGGACAGCTAAGTTGTACAGTTTAACTTAGAGCAGCTCTGCTCCAAGGTGTCAGGTTGTTAGTGTATTAATATAGGGTATTTATTGTGACTGTGTGAATGCTTTTTAGTGTGAGAGTGGATGTTGAGTCGTTCAGAGAATAAAGAAATCAGTTAAAGAACCCAACCTCAGGAGCTTAGAAAGAATTTTGGCATAATGTCTTTGCATGTGTCTGTGAGTGTCTCTTGATGCCCTCTTGATAGGTGTATGAAATGCAGCAGGAGACTGAAAATGTTGATGAGTATAATTTGAATTGGATTCTGAATTAAAAACATGAAGTACATTGAATTGGTTTATAACAGTTGCATGTTTTAGAACTGTTGCGTGGTATTTTCCCAAATTTTCCTGGTTTGTATGAGGCAGAAGGGCGGCATTCAGATTCAGTGAGCTGAGAAAAGTTTTCTTTGTTCTTTCCCAGAATGAGTTGGCAAAGCACTAGGAGAATAGGAAAAAGCAGCGCATAGCATAGTGGAAAAATATGTCATTTCAGGAGCTTCTACGTGGAAAATTGAAGTAACCAGGGAACATTTTTGGAAGCATATGCAAAACAAGTAAAGATTCATTTGGAGCCAGTTGTACAATGAAAAAAATAACTTGAAAAGAACTCACAAGCAACACTTCTACCTTGGCTAGTTGCGCAGCAAGATGTGTTCTGTATTTCCTCCTCGGTCACCAGCACTTGGAACGCAAGAACCTGAGTAATCAAAATACTTTCATTAGTCCTCAGAGCAGTAGAGAGGATTAAAAATTTAATTTGAATCATAAGAAATCTGAAAGAAAACCAAGTTTCCTAAATAACTAAAGATACTTCTAAGATTGGATTTCTTGTGTTCAAGGTGAATTGTGAAGCAGGTGGCCAGGCAGTGCAGTCATAAGCAAGTGCTTGATACAGGAGAGAAGAAAACCTCAGAGGGCCTATGAGTTTGGATGTTTTCCCCCACTTCTGGGGGTAATGGAATATGAAGAGTTTGAAGAGGGAGTAAGTAGTCCTTTCCACTTGGTTGCACTTGGAATTGCAGGGGTCTCAATTTTTTGCTTCAGGAAGTCATGCAGTAGGGATGTGATAGAGCTGATTTTTATAAGTCTGTTCTGTCCAGTCGTGTTTTGTGAACCCAGGTAATGTGTGTGTTTTCGTGAAAGATTTTAAAATTATTCAGAACCAGTTACTGCAATTAGGGCGTCCACTGAAAGGCTTCACTGTGTGAATAATGTGATTTTGGTGATAATATTCTTTAAAGTGTCCATGATGGATCTAGTGAGATGTGATAATTCAACAGTTGAACTGTGCCTGAAAACCGATTCTTTCCTATTTTTCAGCCTTGATGGAAATTGGTGGTCCCAGACCAGGATGCATATGTGAATGAAAGTTTGTTTGAAAGATTTGGAGATCAGAATAAGAGTTTCATACATTTATAAGCAATAGTGAAATTTATAGGTGATTTGAAATCTGCCACTTGAAATATGTGACCTCATTCAGATAGGTGTTACTTAAGGAAATCTACAGTTCCTCACCAGAAACTATGTATGTGTTGTGGATGCATAAATAGACAGTGGACACACAATTAGATGCAAAGAAAAGACTGTGAAGGTGCAATTGAAATTCAGAAGTTGGCAAGACAAATCCTTAAGAAGTAGTGGTTTGTCAGTCATCAGTTGTTTTAAATGGAAGTATGACCATCTGTACTTTGAGGATAGGCATGCAAGCTGCTTTTTTCCCGGAAGATGCTTCTACCCTTCTACAAACAGCCAGAGCCAGCAGGCTCTCCTTTTTTCTGTGTTTTTCTTTTAAACCTGTAGGCACCACTCCCAGCTTGAAGGAGGAAGAATTCCTGTCTATGCAGTTACTTTTCAAGAGCCTGAGAATGATCCCCGCAATTGTTGCTACTTGTGGGCTGTTCAGTCTACACAACAAAGGTGAATAAAATCCTGCCATAAGTCGCTGTTTCTTAAATATTTGTTCACATTCGGTTGATATCTGTGTATTCATTTTGTTTCTTTAACTCTGCAGGAAATTAAAAGTGTTAAGCTTACAGTGCAATTTTTTCAGGATTTTACATTTGCAAAGAGAGGTTGACTCTTTCCTACCTTGTGCAAGAAGGCAAAGGAAACAGTGGCTATGTTTTTGTGCTTGCAGTCTCAAATGATTTCCCTTGTTTCTTGATGACTGCTTCAAGATTTGTTTGGTATTCCCACTATGATATTCAATACCTTTTAAAGTGGTTTAGGCTGCAGATGCAGAACAGTAAACATCATCAGTAAGCTACTTAATCAGCACAGCTGTTCTTAGACTGGCAGTCTTCTTAAGTTCAACTTAAAAGCAGTTTTCATGGAGAATGCTTTACTGTGAAAAGCTATTTCCAGCAATTCAGGAATTTTTTCCTCCATGTTGCATATTAGAGCTTTCTAAACAAAGACATAGTTAGCATTTGCCCCTGAAGCCGTTAATGTCAAAATTTCCTCCTTTCTGTTTTAATGGCTAATGTGACCAATTACCATGTTTTGGGAAGCAGTGTTTATCTTTTCAGCAAGAGCATGCTCTTAAGTTAGTTTCAGCCTAGATCTAATAAAATGATAATGAGGATTGTAAAGCAGCTTTGTAATCCAATTTTCTCATTTATACCTTTTTCAGTGAAGGTGATGTTGTGAGTTTACATCTGTTGCAGTTAGCATTTGGTGACAGGAAACGCCTGACATCAGGACAAGTCATGTATGAGGTAAGACAGGCTTGTATGTGAGAAGATGAAAAAATAGTAATTTTGTCTACGTAAGGATCAGTTAAGTTGACCAGATTCATATTTACCATGAAAGATCAGTGAGACTTAAGAAAAAAGTCTTTTGATGAGTCTTTCTAGGGATTCTTTTGTCCATACTTTTCAAAACAAGTCATAGAATCCTGCAATGGTTTTGGTTGGAAGACCTTAAATATCATCTATTCCAATCCCCTGCCATGAGGATGGATGCCACCCACTAGATCAGTTTGCTCAGGGCCCCACCTACCCCAGCCTTGAACACTTCCAGGAATGGGACATCTGTAGCATCTCTGGGCTGCCTGACCTCCACATCCTCACCACTCTCACAGTAAAAAATTTCTTCCTAACATCTAATCTAAATCTCTCCTGTTTTAGTTGAAAACCCCCTTCTCCTTTGTCCTATCACTATCTGCCCTTGTAAAATGTCAGTCTCCCTCTTTTTAAGCTCCCTTTATGTGCTGAAAGGCTGCACTGAGGTCTACCAGGATGGATTTGGACTTCTGGGCTGTGTGTGCATATTGCTTCCTGTTCACCAGAACCCCCACGTCCTTCTTGGCACGGCTGCTCTCAAGTCACTTTTCCCAGTCTGTAGTCATGTCTGGGATTGCCCCATTCCAGGTGCAGCACCTTGCACTTGGACTTGCTGACCTTCATGTCATGAGATTCCCATTGGCCCCCCTTTCAGCCTTTTCCAGATCCTTCTGGATGACATCCCGGCCTTTTGTATTGTCAGCTACACCTTTCAGCCTTGTGTCATCTGCTAACTTGCTTAAGGTGCACTTGATCTCACTGTTTGTGTCACTGATGAAGATATTGAAGAGCACCAGTCCCCACACAGGTTTCTGAGGGACACACTCAACATCAGTCTATGCCTGGAGGTAGACTGTTTCCCACAACTCTCTGGCTTGGTCCTTCCAACCAATTCCTTATCCACTGAGTAGTCCACCCCTCAAACCTGCCTGTCTTCAATTTAGAGATAGTGATATCGTGAGGGATTGTGTCAAAGACCTTGTAGAAGTCTAGGTAAATGACATTGGTCAGTTTTCCCTCGTCAAGTGTTTCAGTCACTCCATTGTAGAAGATGACCAGATTGGTCAGACACACTCTGTCCATGCTGAAGCCATACAATTTTATACTTCAGTGTAATGAGTTCCACCTAGATTCATCTGCAAGGAGTCCTTACACATCTGATTCCTGAAGAGGAAATGGCTGTTAGAAATGAAATTACTTCTTTAAATGTCACATGAATGGCATGTAGGAGGAGAAGACAGGGCTTTGAGTAGCTTTGTGTTACCAAACTGTAGATTTGAGGAAGCTTCTGTCTGTCTCCCTTTCTTACAATATGGTCATATATTTTTCTTTATACATTTCTGATCTCTGTTTTATAATCTTGTTTTTCTCTTAAACTCTGTCAGCCTGACTTCAGATACACCTACAAAAATACCTACAATGTCTCTTCAGCATTGATTCTGAAACTCAGTAGCTGTAAAGATGATTCTTATTTTAAGTTTTGGATGGGTTGTCTCTGAAATCTACTCTTCAAGCCAGCAAAAGATGTACATACAATGTATAGTGGTATGATTTGGTCAGAAAGGTCTCCATAAATTTTTAGAACTGGTTCCAGAGATGCTGTGGTGTAGAACAGATAAAATATAGAGGAGGTATTATTAGGTCTCAGATAATCTAACAGAGACAAGAGGCACCTCTGTAATGTTTAATTCTATTCAGCAGTATGCATGAAACTCTACCAAGATCTTTTTGATGGGAAAGTAATCTTAATTCACAGCAAGTCTCCTCCTATTTGACACTTGCCCTTGTATATTCTCAGTAGTACAAAACGAAATTGAGGTAATCCTTGGATTGTGGTTCAAAGATTTTTTTATAGGGACTTTGAGTTCTGAATTTTTTGAATGAGTTTGAATTTTATGCTTTTTTCCTTTTGTCTGTAGGAAAGGGCCTTCCTGCTTTGGAAGTATTGCTTTTGAACAGATAAAGGTTAGGTGTTGGGAGGAGGTGGTGTTTCTTTAAAATACATCATCTGTCATGGTGATGAAGTAGAAATACCTTCAAGTGGTTCAACATGTCTGAATATGCATGTCATATCTTCCTGTGCAGTTTTTAAGTGACAAAAACATACAGTGCTCTAGAGGAGCAGAACACCTCGTTTGCTTGTGGTTTTTTGGTGTTTGGTTTTGGGTTTTTTTAAGGATTTTCACTGCAGTTCACTCTGCATCTTGTATTGCTCTAAGCACTTTTACAGGTTGATAGGAGAAAGTTTCTTTAATCTTCTCAAGATTTGCTTTTGAATTTCAGTTTTGTTTTATCCTCTTAAATATCCTCTTTTGTTTTATCCTCTTAAAATAAATTTTTAGCTATGTCTTAGCAGTGACAAGGACAATACCTTTTACTGTGTGCTGCATTGGGAAAAAACAGTTGGCTCTATTTCCCTCATGGCTACTACTTTTTTCCATTTGAACAATTTAATGTTAAAATGTGATACCTTTAACTATTTGGCAGTTATTTGTCTCGGTTGTCTTTTCTGAAGATATGACAAATATCAGTTTATACCTCAGAGAGTTGAAATGTTTAATCAGTCTTTAAAAATGGATTTACTAGAAATTCCAGTTGACACTCTTAAAAAAAAAAAAGCACACAAAGTGATAAAAAATGTTACTGTGTTTGTGACCTGAAAAACCTGTGGTGTAGTTAAAGTAAGACTTGGACCCTACAGACTATATAACCAGTAGTACATTCACAGGCACGTTGAAAGATTATGACAAGAACCAGTCTTAGAAGGCTGTTGAAGAGAGCTGAACATCTGCACCCTCTGAGGAGGAAAGACAGGTTCTTCAGTTGGCTTACAGATAAACCACTTCTTTCATGCTGAGACCTGATAGCATCTACTTCCAAAAATCCCCACAAAACACTTCTTAATCCCTTCGCAAAGGATGCATCACGATAGGATCTGTGCTCACCAGTGGACACTGAAGTGTTGTATTACTTCTAGTGGTCACAGATTGGTCAGTATGACATGATGGCTCTCTGCCTGCACGACTGAATCAAGCTTCTTGTCGGTCTTCAATGACATAAAATTTAAGAATTGTTCCCATTTTCCAGGCCAAGCTTGAGTAGAAAAGGAGAAATTAGTCTACTGCTGCTCCTTGTTCACTGAGTAGTAGTCACAGGAGCTTAAAACACTAGTCTGCTTACATCAGTGCTGTACATCCCAGTAATCAGACTTGAGGCTATGAAACAATGCATCTTTGACTTGATATTTTGGTAAAAGTCACAAATGGAACTTTTGCAACATGTGGCACTGTGTTTTTATAAACGTGTCAGACTTGAGTCTCTGTTGCCTTCAAGGCTGGTTTACATCTGCTCAAGTAAGAAAACTGAAAGATACGCTTCAATTAGACTTCCAAAGACCTCTTTTAGATGAGATGATCTCAGCAGCTGCTGTATCTTGCAGATCAGTTCATCCTCCTGGAGCATTCCTTACCTTTGTTCTGCACAAGGCTTGAGTACAATCTCTGTGTTCATGGCAGAGTCTGACCAGTGCAACTCCTTTGAACACTGTCCTGTTTAACTGGTCTGGAACGTCATTTCTTAATATCTTCTATGTGCTAGAGTTCCTAAACTTAGATTTGCTTGCCCCAGTATGGAAAACTTAAAATATGCAGCTTGGGTTAGGAAGTTATCTTTGGCAGGACCTATTTGGTATTACTTTCTCCTTCCCTTCTGCACTGAATTTATGTGGGAGTGGCTCTTCATATAGGAATGAAAGCTGAAATTTCTAGTAATAAAAATAAATGCTGGACAGGTTTGTGGAATTTTAGTGCTTTATCTTGTGGAACTGTCTTTTGGAATGGTGAAGTTCTTGTTCAGGACATCATCTCTGTTAAAACTGGTTTTAGTTATTAGTTGTCCTACAATGAAGATGAGGTTCTTTGCTTAGGCTTCATGTTAGTTTTTCAAAGATAAGGTTTTGATTTTTCTTATCTGTCCTGCATATATCTGTTACTTCCAAAATTCCTTAATAAAATGGCATGAACTGTGCATACTTCAGAGCAAAGTTTTGCTAAGGAGATGCTAATATTTGAAAATGTGCAAAGCCTTTTCAGCCAGTATCTGTTAAAATTTGACACTTCATTCTCTTGAATGTCAGATGTAGTTTTTATTTGCTATCAGAAATAAGTTCATTAGAAATAAACAATACAATATGCATGTTACATTCGCTATATGCATTCTTTCTTAGTGAATCTAATTACCCTTTTTTTTTTTTTTTTCTTCCCCCGCCTAGGGTTTGGAATACTGTGATGAAAGGTACAGTTTAGATCTCAGTGGTGGAATCTTTCCCTTGAGAGGGCAGACCAGCAATACTAAATTACTCAGCTGTCAGACCATAGAAAAATTTCGCAACCATGCTGACAGAGAGGACAGCGTTAATGAAGGTTTGTTCTGATGTCCCTGCTTGGTTATTCTGAACTACATGGCTTGGAAATCTAAGCAATGAATGCTGTTCTGTACCCACAATCTTAAAGTCTTAAATATTTGTCTAACTGACCTTGTTGGGCTTACTAAAAAAACCTGTGTACTTAAGTTATGTGAGGCTTCCTATCCCACTGAACATCATTCTTTAAGGGAAAAAATAGTTTTTATTTTATGTTTGCTGGGATGCTAGAGGAGTGTATGGGGTCATCAGTATAAGGCTGGTCAGTCAGTTTGTTCTGCCAGTTGTCTGCATTGCACGGTAAGATCATTCTGTCTGTTGCTTAGGAATGTTACCTGAATTGTTTTTTCCTGATCAAACCTCTGGCTGCATCCATTTAGCACCTGGTCACTAATGGTGTTCCCAGGGCTCAGGACTGTAGCCAGTTCTATTTGATACCTTTTTTTGATTATCTGGATGAACACCTTGGTGAGCTAATAATTGTGTATTTGGTTTGTTTTGGAACCAATACAATTTGAACAAGAAAAAGAGACAGTATGATTAAAACCTATCAGATGGATGTTTGCTACTCTGTATATTGTTTTTATCATTCTTAATAAAGTGTTGTGTTTCATGAGTGAAATAACAGAATTAAGCCAAAATAGAAAGTGATGTTTTGAAAACAGCAAATATCTCATTTTCTACAACAAGAAACAATGTCTTGTCTTTGACAGTAATCTCTCCTGACACCAGTGTATCAATCTTCAGTTGGCAAGTAAATACCTATGGTCAGGGAAAACCATCTACTTATTTGGGAGTGTTTGACATCAATCGCTGGTATCACGCTCAAATGCCAGACTCACTGAGGTAGGTTTTAATCAAGTGGTTTTCAATATCCCTACAAAGGGTTCATTTGAAAATTGCTGTTGAGCTTATGCACTTGCTCTCTTTAAGGCCAGAAGAATTGCTTCATGATTGCCCCTATTTTGCACTGTGGTCGCTGGATCCTGTAATAAGCATGACTTCTCCAAACCTCATTTTGGATATTCTGGTACACGAGCGTAGTCTAAGTCGGGGGGTTCCTCCTTCTTATCCACCACCTGAACAGTTTTTTAATCCAAGCACCTATAATTTTGGTAGGTATTTCACTGCTTTTCATCTGAATAGAGGCAAGCTTTGGTGGAGGTCGAATGCCAGTGGTTCTTGTTCATTGTTTGTCACACAAAAACCAAACCAACCAAAGCCCCACAAACCTTCTCCAGCCTGGGTACCTAGGTAGCTGACAAGGTACTTAGTCTTGTGAGACATATCTGACAGGCAGCTGAGTTTTGGGTTTTGGGGCTTCTGTGTAACATAGCCTGGGATGGGGTGATGGTCACAGAATGAAATGCCTTTGAGCTGAGACCCAAAGCACAGCAGCTGGGTAGCACTCAAGCTTAAGTTTCCAGAGAGAGAGAGTAACTCCTTTTTATGGGACGTGTGTAAGCGATGTGATGAAGGAAAGGGGAGGTGCTGGAGGTTTGTCTTTGCAGAGAGCACTATTTAAAAAGCATAGAGTGGTGATGAGGTAACAAGGTCTGTCAAATGTTCCTTGTTTCTGCAGATGTGACATGCTTGCTCAACTCGGGAGTTGTTCACATGACTTGCACCGGCTTCCAGAAGGAGGTGACTTTTTTTACTGTATTGAGAGGGTGTCAAGAGATGAACCTTTTCTAACTTTTCCCTTGCAGTGCTTTGAGTGTCAGAGACCTCCTGATGCTCACACTGCCCACCCACATGCATAGCTGCAGTCATAGCCTGCCAGTTTCATGCACATGGCACTGCTCTGGGGAGGCATGAGCAGGGATTGAATGGCTAGAAAGGAATTGCAGCACTGCTGTAGTAGGAAGGATGAGTTGGTGGAAGTAAAGTGTTTACTTCTTTGTATAGTGTGGAGTTAGGGTTTTAATCCCTGATGAACTTGAGACAGGAGGACAGCATGGAGAAAGGGAAAAGTGATTTAACTGTTGAGGAAGAAATGCATGTTTTTTTTCTCTCAGCCTTGACCAAATTGTAATTTCTGAGCCACTGCACAGTTTAGGACAAGCCCTTTCAAATTAAATTCCTGCTCACTAAATATTCCCTTATAAATAATCTTCCTCACGAATGAGCCTAGAGTCTTTCAAAGAGTGATTTCTAGTTTTATCTAGTTTTAAATTCTATGGAATGTATTTTGTGTCAATGTTCAGGGAAAAGCAAGGCCGGTGTATTGACAGAGAGGCTGGAAAATACTTTCTTGCCTTCAGCATTGGCATTGCACGGATTTTTTCTTCTATAGGATGGTTTTTTTAGAAAATCAGACTGTTAGTGTGCTGCTGTCTTTATGACTCTACATAGCAATGCTTGCCAAAATTGCTAACCTAATGCCCGCTGCTACTAATGCAGCTTTCTGGCAGTCTAAGTGATCTTAGTGATTGAATGCTGTCTTAACCTGTGTGTTTTGATTGATGTTTCAGACCCTGAAGTTTTTGAAGAAATCTGGTCCTTTAATAAGTGAAGCCATTCGTGACAGCTACACTCGGTGTCTTGTAGCTGGCTTGCTGTCTCCAAGACTGGTTGATGTCCAGCCATCCAGTCTGAGTCAGGTGAGTGTACACTGGGGAATCCAGGGGGAAATACATCCATCTTCTCTGAAGGCTGTAGAGGCTACAAGACATGACCATCTGAGTTTTTCTTGCAAGCTGCTCTGAGAAGCAGGTGTTGATATTATTTAGGAGAAATGATAATATTCTTAGATCCAAACTCTGATTTTCACCAGGAAGAACCCTCTTGGCAAGCTGCCCCAGCCCACAGAATACTTATTTTACAAGCCTGATGTTGGCTCTTACATTCTGATTAGATGTTCTGATGTCAGTCTGGTTGGGAAGTAACTTGGGAAAGCAAGAAATTTTATGACATTTCCTGAATTGTGACTATATTGTTCAGAGACTTTTTATGCATTTGAGCAGGGATTGCTTTTGGATGCTAGAAAGAAATTTCAGAATTAGGTCAAGAAGCTTGGTTTTGAATTTTTTTGGCACCCTAAGCATATTTAGCATGTTTCTTTATACGAAACCAGATTTCAGAAACAGATGCTTTCAAATGACAGAATGTGTAGAAATGTCTTTGAACGTAATAATTTAACTTAGAAAGCAAACATATTTTTGAATATGTTTTAGAAAAAAGAGAGCCAAGGAAAAAAAAGAAAAATGTCAAATTATATGCAGGATCATTTCACCTGAAAGAAATGTCTGAGCTTGAATAATCTGAAAGAAATGTCTGGGCTTGAATAAGCTGCTACATTCTTTTCCATGTCTGTGCATGCCTGTGCATTATCCTTCTCAAGGACTGCCATGGCATTAGAATACAGTAATCGAACAGGCTGAAATTCAGCGTATTAGAACTGAAATGTTTCACTTCTCTATGGTACTTTAACAAATTGTAACTTAATGTTTTGGCTGTCAAAGCTGCTTCCTGTCTTGCTTGTCCCAGGAGCTGCTTGGCCTCAGCAGCTTCACTGTTTCCATGCAAACACAGTGGTGGTTTGGTGTTTGCTCTGTCCCCTCCACGTGTTTCTGATGGCAAAGGGGTGTGCCCAAAGTGCATAATGGGTATTAGCAGAGGATGTTCCTGAAAATAGTTAATTGGGATTCAGTAAATGAAGACTGAAAGGCCGAGGCACAGAAATAGAGATGGAAACTAGCCTGAGTGAAGTTGAAATGTCAGAGGAAAATGTTCCTGTGTTCCTCAAACCAGCAAGCAGTCCAGCCAGTGACTAGAATTAAGAAAGAGTCAAGAATATGGAATTAGTTGCATTTGCAGCTGCTGTCTGAATGGGTATCGAGTTCGAAGCAAACTTCTGTCAGAGGCTCAGGTAGTGTCTGATTCAGAGCTATTCCACAGGTCACCGAGAGAAACTCCAGTGTTTGTCAAGGTGAGACTTAGAGGGAAAGTCTGAGGTTGTGATTTGCTTTTGTCTGTTCTGTTCAGGAGGAGCAGTTAGAAGCAGTGTTGTCAGCTGCTGTGCAGACGGGTTCTTTAGAACTTCTGACGGGATGCATTAAACACTGGACTTGTGAAGGTAATGCTGCTTCCATTGTTTTTGTGTTGTGTCTGTTTTGGTTAGAAGTTGTGGCTTCATGTCCTTTTTGTTTTCTGTTTTTAAAGAGCAGCCAAGTTCTGCTGTAAATTTACGGTTTGTTCTTGAGTGGACGTGGAACAAAGTGATCTGTACAAAAGATGAACTGGACCAAATATGTGAGTAGTGGTGTGGTGGTTTTTGACACCACCACCTGCATTCTTTGTAAAGGATCTTCTTCACTAATCTGCCAGTGTATGCTGCTGGTTCTTTAAGTGGTTCTTTATGTCTCTTGTGGTTGTTGAAGTGTTTAAGTGTGGAAGTGTGCAGTTGCTCTGCTGAGTGATGATTTAATATTTCTCCTTGACCAGGTGTTCCGCTGTTTGACGGCTCCTGCAACTTCATTGACCCGCAGACATTACAGTCCCTTCAGCACTGCCAGCTGCTGCTGAGCAACCTCAGCACAGTCCTGAACTGTTTCCTGACAGAAGCCCGAGAGCTGACTGAGAAAGGTTGGTGAGAGCACTGCTAGGCCTTTGGTCTGATTGTTAAGATTTGGAAGGGTGCTTGGGTTGTAACAGGAGCAGTTGTTGTTTTGGATGGCTGGGGAGATTTGGGTTGAGCTGGGAGGAGAGGCTTAAATCTGAGAAGCTGGGACTTTGATTTAAGCTGCTTTGAGTACAGGGGAGCAGATTGTTGTGGAGTTCATGAGGCTGGGTAGGGGAGGCTGCGCTGGTTCAGCACTGAGCTGAGTAAGAACCTGGGCGGCATTTACAGCACCTGAGTGTGGTAATGCTGAGAAGTGTTCCTAAGTGTTAGCTAGCAATTGATAGTTGTGTGCAGATTGCTGGGAAATACAATGGAAGCTGAAATGTGTAACGTGTAAGGGAAGTTCCTTGAGTTCTTTTGGCTTCTGATTTTATAAATTGTTGTTGGCATATTGAGGGAAAAAGAGGACTATAATCAGAAAACGATTTGATTTTTAGAGACGATCATGGAAAACAAACATTGTCTTCCTGAGTATATCTAATAGATAAGGCTTTATTTTTCAATTTTCATCTTTAGTGATTCTGTTTCTTTTAGTGATTGGGGATTTTTTTTGGCGGGGTGAATGGTGGTTTTTTCCTTCAAATTCATAAGTGATCCAGAGGGATAACTACAAAGACAGGTTTCTACTGTGTTTGTTCATACTTTCTATTTGCTCTGCAAAGGGAGTTCTGTAAAATGAAAGGAATTTCAATACTCAAATAATGTTTTGCCTTTTTTTCAGGTTTTTCAGACTTGGCAAATAAGCAGATGGTAACCAACCTCATTTTTTTGTATGCACAAGTGGTGATCTGGTTCTGTCGATCCAGTCTCCTTCCCGAGGGTTTAGGTAAGCGGAACCTGTAGTACCAGTACACTTGTTTTGATAGTAAAAGCAGTACCTGCATGTTTTGAACCTTTGATTTATTGCTCAAGGTGAAAGTACAAGTTGGAAATGCTCTTAATTGAGACACCATATGCATTCCATTTTCAGCTTTAGTCATTTTACAGATGCTCACATGTTCATGATGTGAGCATCTGTAAATGTGAAAATCATTCCCTTTGAGAGTTGTTTATTTAGGAGTAGTCTTGAGCTTACCCTGCATGCTCTGAATGCTGCATCAACGAAAAACATGAAGCTGATCTTGAGACAAGAAGTGGTTGTTGTTTTGCAGTTTGCAGCAGTAGTGGTTTTGTCTTAGTTCTCCTTTAGCAAAGGCAGAAACAGGATTGGATTCTTTGAGAGTTGGAGGCTTCTTGAGGTTGTGTGGTTTCTGTGTGTCTAGACCAAAGTTTTAGTTGAAAAACATGGTCTTAAGTTAACTTGCTTTTACTTTATCACCTGTAGATGATCACATGCATTTGTCCAGACTTTTCTACAATTACCCTTTGATTCAGAGCTACTATACGGGTCACCGAGAGAAACTCGAGCGCTTATCAAGGTAAGACTCAGAGGAATTCTCTAGAAAGCTGCCACTGTTAGACTGTGTGAGAGTGGTTATTTTTGCAGTTAAAACCCTTTGTCTGCCTTCCTTGGCATTACACATAACAGAGCAAGAAAGCAAGCCTGGAACCCAAAATGCAGCTCTTCTCTTGGGTTTGTGCTTTGGACTCCTTAATTAAGAAGTTCATTGTGAGCTAAGGACCATCATTCCTCTGACTCCGAAATCTGTGACACTGAGAGGCTGGAATGAGTGTTTTACACTGTGCAAGCCCTTGTTCCCTTTTGTTGCAGAGGCAAATGGGATTCTGATTGCTTGATGATTGATGGAATGGTTTCCCAGTTGGGAGAGGAAGTGGAGAAGTTGTGGCAGAGGGATGAAGGCGGCACTGGGAAATACCCACCTGTTAGTTTACATGTGAGTGTTCTGTTCACTGCAAACCCCAGCAGCAGCAGTCCCCTAAAGCCATTGATTGCGAAAGACAGGAGCATTAGAAAACCTTTTAATCTTTCATTTCAGGCACTGCTGGATCTCTATTTGCTAGAAAGCATTGATGAAAGCGACAAACATGCAATTGTATCCTTTCCAGAATCTGTTATCTCTTCTTCAGTCTGTGCACATAAAAGTTTTTACATGTTTGTCACCTGTGTGTGCTTAACAACAATTTTAAATTTATGCCATAAACACAGTGTGAGTGAACACGTTTAGAATAGAATTAAGTCCTAGACAGAAGCATTGCTTAATTTCTTTCTAGATTGGAATTTTTCTGATTTAATTTTTAATTGTTTTGTTCCAAAGTCTCTTCCAATTTGAGAAAACATGTTCTCTAAGTTGTATTCAAGATAAAAACCTTGTTTAGTTGTACTCAAATTTTAACACAGTTACTAATTTTTTAAGACACTCTGATATATAGCAATAGAGTGCTTATTAGAGTGGTGCCCTAAAATGTATTGTTTCACAGCAAAAGGGTTTGTAACTTTGGTTTTCCAGTTGCTAATTTTTGCCAAAATAATTTGTTTCGCAGCCCAGCTAGCAGTGATTGCCTTCCAGAAATCCACAAGTGTTTCTTTCTGGAAGTATATTCAGGATACAGTTCTGTGATTAGGACCTGACTATTGATATAATGGGTTGTAATAGTTTAAAATGGCAAGATCAGTAACTTGGGATGTTCTGCTTTCTACTATTTTCATGTTCTTATTTCATTGTTTTGCTAAATGTAATGTGATACAACTTTTTACTCTTAGTGATTTATTCACCTTAATTAGATATTCTCAGACAATTTACTTGCTGCTGGATATCATCCATTCTTTTCCAGATAAAACAGAAACTTTACTTGTTTCCTTTCTAACTGCCTTTGCTATCCCTTGGGGTCTTGTTAAGCTGATTCAAGGGTTTTGGCTCCTAGATCACAATGATTATGAAGTAAGTATGAAACAGTTGAGTTAAACACATATTGCACTGCAGAAGCTATAACCACTAAAAATATTTTTAAAAATTGTTACTTAAGTGCTGTTGGAACATAAGAAACTTTTTTGTAACACTGGTCTGACATCTTCAGCAACAAGTTATGATTTGAAATTTTGCTTTAACTACTTTGACAGAAATTTATTAAAACAATGACATAATCAACATAATGCTTAATGTTTGAATTTTCAAAGCAATCTCTGTTTCAGGAGGTTTTTAGCAGACTGGTTGGGCACTATTTCTAAAAGAATATTTTGGGTACTTGAAGCATGGAAACTGTTATGGTAGCAGGAACATTTGAGACAAAAGACTTCAGGAGTGACTTTTCAACCTGTTCTTCCTAATGCTTTAGGTTGTTCTTTACCTGTCACTATACAAATAGAATCAATTTGATTGTCTAGTAACTTATTATTTAGTAATGTATTTATTAAAAGGGATGTTTGTACATAGAGTTTTGTGAACTTAGAACGATCTGAATTGCTCCTCTTAACACATCACATTTGTATGGTTGATTTTTTTTCCCTGCAAATACTGAAGAATTTTTACTGATGTGTCCTGGATCAAGTATTTAATTATTTAGATATCTAAGTTTGTCTAGCCCATGTCCAGCCTTGCTGCAGAAAGTTTTGACTTTTTGTTGCATGGGGGTTGTGTGTGTATCCATGGTAATGAAGCTGCTCTCAACTTGTGCAGAATTCCCTGGCCCTGCTCTTCCATCCAGCTACAATCAAGACTGTGTCATGGCAACACATGAGGATAATTCAGTCCCTCATGTGCCAGGGAGAGCACAGGCGAGCCCTCAGGTACCTGCAGATGATGAAGCCATCGATGTCCAGCAGCAGTGAAGTGCGGCTCTTCCTCACCGTGTTGTTGTCCAATAGGTAAGGAAATCTCCCACTGTTTTGGCATTCACATATTGGGAAATGTGGAGAACTGATGACACAAATGGGGCTCCCCTCCATTTCCTTTGAGTTTTGAATTAATACCGTCACTGTGGGGCATCTTTTTGGCTTTGGCGTTCCCATTCCTTTCCATTTCCTAAACCTTAACTGCAGGTGCATGGTGGAGGCTTGGGGTCTGTTGCAGCAGCACACCACGAAGTTAAACATAGAAGAGCTGCTCAAGCACATGTATGAAATCTGTCAGGAGATGGGGCTGATGGAGGATTTGCTGAAGCTGCCCTTCACAGACACAGAAAAAGTGAGTTTGGAGAAGAAACAAAAAAATCTTAATTGTCTCTTTGGCAAGAGAAGAGGCAGAATCATCACCAATGTTTGAAACGTGTTATTCTCACAGGAGTGTTTGGAGAAGTTTTTACAGACCAAATCTGGTGTTCAGAATCATGAATTCCTCCTAGTCCACCATCTGCAGCGTGCCAACTACATCCCAGCACTCCAGCTGAATCAGTCCATGAAGGCCAATCTGATGGTAAGGGTAGCAGTCCTGCTGAGTATTCAAGTGTCTGTCATGGTGACTGATCACTTTTGACAGTCCTAAAGAAAAATCTTGCTTTGTCTTTTATACCATTCTTTGAAAGACTAGGAATAAGTTCCTACATGTCGAGTTACAACTGAACCTAAAAGGTGGCTGAAATAATTTTACTACTGCAAACTGCCATGTGAAGTTTAAAATTAAATGTTCAGTGGTTGCCTCCACTGAAAGTTTGTTTGTATCTCATGAAAAAATAGGTATCTTTTCTACCATCCCATCTTTTCATTCAGATCCTGAGATCCTGCTGTTATATATGGTTTAGCTAGGGAAGGTATTTGTGTCAGTTTTTTCTGTGAAATAAAGAGTGTGTTGTATGTCCCATCTCGTATCTTGCTTTTACCTCAGAGCAGTCTGGATGCTCAACAGGTCAAATACGTGTAGTGGGGTTTAGTTGTAGTTTTGGGTTATTTTGTCAAATTATAGCGCAGGCTCTGTGATTCCAGTAGTTTAATGCTGGCAATTTTATGACATAAATTCTAACCTATGTTTCTCAAAATATCCAGATGAAATTTTGCATGATATGAACTTCTATTAGGGATCTGTGATGCATGTGTTGTCTTTTGAAAGTGTATTTTTCCAGTAAATCAAACTTAAAAGGTAGTCTTGGAAGGTTTAAGTGTGTGAAAACTGTATGTGAAAACTGTACATGAAAACTGTATGTGAAAACTGTTCCAGACAGGTGTGTGTAGGTAGGTTTTCTTAACTTGTTTTAATTTTCCCATCATTTTGTCCAACATAATTTGCAGTTGCCCTGTGTATTCAGTAATCTTAGATATCTTTATTTCATGACAACCAGGGGAAAGCCTGTTCTTCCACAAGCCATTTGAAAATTGCAGGTGTTATGAAGTATGCAAGAATAAGGCTCTGCAAAGCGCCAGAGTCCTTTTAAGTAGGAGTTTTATGTTCTGCTTTTATTCCAGTCTTCCTTGCACTTATCCAGAACTACCAGGTGAATTTGGTGCGTGCTCCTGGGTGGAACTTGCTGTGGTTCTGTGCAGTGGATTTGTTCTCCTTTGTCTGTAGAGCAAATTTAGGCCTTAGTTGGAAAGAGCAGAGACAGTTCTGTGCAATGAACTTCTGGTGAATTGTTAACTTCTTGCTTTACACGTCCTTTGTCAGAACGATCGTGATCCTCGCTTGAGAGAGAGAGCAGTTGCCAGAAATTCTCTGTTAGACCAATATGGCAAGATCCTTCCCACAGTTCAGAGGAAGCTGGCAGTAGAGAGAGCCAAGCCGTACCGTTTGCCTTCATCGGTCCTAAGAGAAGGTAATTTTAGAGAAGGGAAATAGGATGTGCAGCCGGCCACCACTTGGATTACACAAGGCTGATACTTTTCCATCTTGTGCTTTACAGTCCCAAGGCCAAAGCCATTATCGACAGCAACAAGGCAGGCTAATGCAGGAAATGTGCATACGAGAACAAGTTTAATCACTAAAGTACTATCCAGATTTAAAGAAGCATGGCTAGGAAACAAGACAACCAATTTCTCAGAGTATAATAAGTAAGCAGCCTTTTTACAAAGTTTAGCCTTGTTCTATGTGTTTGAGGGGAGACAGAAAAAGGAGGAGAGAAATCTCTTTATGTTAGTTTCTTGATGGGAAGGTACATATGAACACAGTTATGTTTTGCTTTTTTGCACATAAAATATACAACGTTTGAGACACAGTCATAAATAACATTTGGAGAAACATATTTTTCTGCTATATTTTTCTGCTTTTTAGGCTTTTTTAATCTTATTTTGGCAAATACATATATTTACATTATGAGAAATGTGCTTACAAAGTTTGACAGCTGAAACTAAAGCTTTGACTACCACCAAGCTCTTGGTGTACGGACTTTGACAGACGAACAAAAAGAAGTGCCTGTCACTTCCACGTGGGCCTAATGTATCACCCCAGCAGTGAGGATTCACTCGTATTTCTTGTTCACTGAGTGTTCGTGTTGTCAGCATCACAGCATGTTTTTTTTTCATTTATTTATTCATGTTCCTAGTTTAAAATGAGTATTTTAACAGGTTGCTGGATTTGGTGGTTCGTCCTGTTCCTTCCCGCTCTGTGGCACAGGATGAGAGCTGGCAGTCCCCGTGCAGAGCTTCTACATCCAGCCCCCTGGGATCAAACACACATTGCTCCAGCTCCCAAAACAGTCTGCCAAGAGCATCAGAGCAGAATGTACTGGAAACTGCTCCTGTGGTCAAGGTTTGTATTTTAAGAAGTCAGTAGCAACCAACCAAACCAGAAGCTTGTGGGCTTTGTTTAAAAGGAAACCCCTGGGTTCAAATTGTGAGGTATTTTTAGCATGCATGTAGTTATTGTATACACAGTCCTTTTCGAAGCAGTAAAATGGGAACAGAGGGAAAGTTTAGTTTTCACTTAATTGGAGTGGTTACCTTGTCCCACAGCTTTGAGAAATACTCTTGTTTTTATTGCATGGAACAAAGTTCAACCTGGACTTTTCAACCTGCCTAAAGATGCAATTTGTGGCTTAACCGTGTCATTATTTAAGTGCCAAGTAGTTTTGTGCAGTTTTATGTGCATTTCTACAATCAAGAACAGTGCTTCAAACTCTTAATCCAGTCACATGAATGACAACTGAGCAATGTCAGTCTCTGTCAAGATTCAGTGATGACTCTCTGCTGCAGTTTTGCTTATCAGTTGTTTGTGTTAAGCTGTATTTCCAGTCACTGCCATCAAACTGTTACCATAAGGCAGTAACACCTGACATGGCCCCTTGCTGCTGATCTTTTTGCCTTTGCCTACCTGAATGAAATCACTGCCATCTCCCTAAATTATAACCTTTTTCTTGTTATGAAATATCATCTGTACTACTGAACTAGCTTCATCCTTCTCCTTTTTAACTCTTTCAATACTGCAAAACATTTCTGAGCCAGGAAGACCTGAACACTGCTACATGAAGCTATGTAGGTATGTTTACAGCACGATCCCCTCATCTTGTGTGCAGACTGATTAATTAGTGCAGAAATAAGCTGTGGCTGTTGCCCTGTTGACTGGTCTCTGGAATACAGTAATTGAAAATGCTGCCTTGTAGAATAATGGTTTGTGCCTTTTAAAAGAGCAGTGTAGAAATTGCAAAAATTACTGGGATAGGAGAGAACATTGTAGACAACAAGATGCTATATTCTTGTTTCTTCGGGAAATTTGAAAAGTAACCTTTCTTTTGTCACAACTGAAGCTTTAAGCATTCCCATTTAAGCACTGGGGACCAATTGTACTTCACCCTGTCAGAGGCAGTGGGGCACTCTGGCTGTGGAGCAGTGCCGAGGATACTGCAATGTTATGGGCACTGCTGGCTGTGTACACACCTTGTGCTGGAAAACTGCTCCTGGTCATGGCAGTGACAAATGGTCAATTCTGAACAGAAATATCAGAAACAGAGCATGTGAACTGCACACAGGGACTGCTCTGGTCCCTGTGCCTCAAGTACATAAACTTGCAGCTGTAAGGTAGTACAGAATGTGTACATATGTTTCACATTCAGGGGTGAGTGGAAGGGAAAAACAGCTTTTCAGTGTCTTTAATTTCTTCTAGCTCAGTGTGAAATTACTGTTTGCTACTGAATAAAAGCATTAACAGACATTTTTTAACTTTAGGTTATTGAAGACAGTGCAGTGACAGCATAAACTTAAGAAGCAGCCTAAAAACCCACCATATAGTGAACTACATTCATAAAGCAATCTTCAATACAGCTATGATACTATAAAGCATCAATTTGTACGTGATTTGCCTCAGAATAATAAAGGTCAATGTGATGCAGCTGTAGGAGATAGAGACTTTTATGACCTTTATATATCTCAGAGTAATTTTCATAGTTTTTACAAGTTCTACTGATACAACAAAAAAGCCTCTACACAGAAATAGAATTTAATGCATTCACACTCCTGAAAATCATGAAGGCTACCTTTCAAATATTCCCGTGACTCAAGGCTTCCATTGCCCACAAATATAAATCCAGAAATCAGACAGCAGGATAAGACACTCTTATAATTCTTAGGCTAACAGCAAAAAGCAGGCTCATCAACCACAGTATCAAGTAGTGTGAAACAGGCCAGCGTGCCCTGAACCTGGATCATACCAGGTCAGATTCCAAAAACAATCAACAGAACAAGCCTCCTTCTTTACAGAAGCAAAAGCACAATACAGTTCATGACTACTTACCTAACTACAAACTACACATAGATCTGCACTCAGAATGATTATTAAATAAAGATTAATTGAAGATGTTAATAAAGACATATACCAAACACACATTAGGAATAACTAGTAGCTTATTTGCTAAGGCACTTCTGTTTCCAGGCTGCCTGCTTTATATAGTTGCAGAATGGGGCAAAGCAAGGCAGCTATGCTTACTTGTGAAGCAGATGCTATAGTGGATCCACGAAGTAGGAAGTTGAACTTAGGTAATGAGATTAAGATTCCCAAATTAGTACCCGAGAAGTTACCAATTCAATATGTCTGTGAATTAACACTCAATACCCACCCTTTAGGGGTTTGCTCACTACAGCAAATACTATTATAGCTTTTAACTCGAATTTTCTTCTGTTTCTGCTGCAAACAATAGCATAGTCAAACTGTTTTATGATTAGGCTTTTGCAGCCAAATGGGTTTTATTAGAGTTAGACCCAGTAAAGGTGTTAGTTCATACAGTTGTGTTCTGACTTCAGACTTCAGGCTTGCTAATAACAGAGAACTCAACACCACGCTTGTTGAGGCGATCAATCAGTTTTGTTTTCGAGAAGGCAGCTCCTGGAGAATATACACCACCCCTGTTAGTGAAAATCAAAAAGGAGAAACATTAGGGACACAGTGATTGAGGGACACCTTTTTGTGAAGCTAGAGATGTGCTTCCCTGACTAAGAAAGAAAAAGCCACTTAGTCCGAGAAGGGAGTGGGTGAGGAATTTGGCAGGGTGGTTATCATCATCGGTTCATTTCTGCATCCAGCAAGCTCTATAGAAACCACTCCATTAACTGCACACATAGACACTGATGCAAAGGCCTGACTAAAAGCCTGTGACTACATCCTTTCAAACTGATTGGCTGGTGAAGAGCAAATGGCTTTAAATCAGCTTGCAGTGAAGCATTTCCCTTGCACAGCCAGTTGGGTGAGGTAACACAAATCCACAGAGCTGATTAAGTGTATTCTCAAAGAGAAACATTTGCACACAGTAGTTTTAAAGGAGAGCAAACTGCTCAGCATGGGAAGGTACTTACCGTTTAGGCAGAGAAGATGCATCTTCCAGAAGAGATAGAGCTGCTTGAACCATTGCAATTGGTGTAGCAACATATCCAGGCTCTGACAAAAAAACAAACCAAAACCCCCCCATGAAATACGGTGCATTGAAATGTAGAGTGTAATCTTGCTCTTCCCTACAGCATTCTGGAGAGTAATGTCTTTGGCAATGAAACAGCCTTTCCCATTTAAGAACAGCTTTTTTTACCTAGTAATCAGACCAAGTAGCTGGTGAAATCCTTAAGATGTAATCCAAACAAATACTGCTTCACATAATGGCCTCTAACCACACAACTGTGAGTGACCACATCATAGTGACAGAGAGCTTTCTGACACAGCAAGAGCTTTCCCCATCCTGTACTTCAATTCAGAATTTAACCACGCAACACTTGCATTCTGCCACATCTCTAGCTATTTAAAGAAGCTATGCTACAGTAACTAATTTCTGAATGTACATTCTTGCTCTCGCCAAACTACAGGTGTCATCTCCCCTCAAGGAATGACCTGAACAAAAGTATGTAATAGTCAGAAATTATACCGCACTGGACCTGTTTAAGTTCACTCTCTGGGAACTGGAAATAAACAAAGTACTAAGTCCAGGCTGTAACAACTAAAAACTACTCTTAAAGCCCTCTTCCTTCAAAAGGTCTGCTCTGCAAAAATGAAAATCAGACCAGGGAAAGTCAGAGGAAGGAGATTTACAAGAATGCAAGTGAACTGGCTACTTCAAAAACCAGGTCACAATGAATTCTACTATTCATGTTAATACACTGTAAAGGCTGTTGGCTTTGTTCCTGTTGCAAGTGCTTCTCAAGGGTGAAAGGGACAGCAGTGCAATCAGGAAAGTATTTCAGAGCAGGGAATGCTAGGCAAAATACATACCTGGTCCTTTCACTTCAGTGCAGATCTTCACATTTGGTTTGGCATTCTGGGGATCTTGTCCCTCACTATAACCCTCACCAAAAAAAGTCATTGTAAAAGAGGTTCCATCCATCTGTAGTGGACAAGACAAGCATGGTCACCAAAAGAGAAACTGACTGCTACCAGGAAAGCACAATTAGTAAATAAAAGTATCCAAATTCTATATATAGAATCCTGCCAAATACTATAATCCATTTACAAATGAGAAGAATTATTTTGAATTACTGCTTAAAAGGTATAATCTGAGTTTTTAATTGCTTCCACTTTGTTGCACTGGCCTTGTACTAAAGTCTGTTCTCTCAGTCCTGGGTTTTCTGCTAATCAGTCTCCCTCGGTCATCACCTTTGATAGAGTGCTCTGAGCCATCCATGGGAATACATCAGGCCCAGCAACATTATCCATTTATTCCTCATAGGAGTTACATACACTTTGATGTCTAAAAGCAGAAGGCATAGTTATTTAAATATCCAGTAACTATCTAAACAGCCACACACAACATGCATTTGGACGTAGGAGGGAAGCTGTATGAATGGAGGCTGAGGTTTCTTGGTCTGACCAGCCTGGAGAAGAGGAGACTGAGGGGAGACCTCACTGCAGTTACACCTTCCTTGTGAGAGGAAGCGGAGGGGCAGGCACTGATCTCTGTGGTATCCAGTGACAGGATCCAAGGGAATGGCCTGAAGTTGTGTCAGGGAAGTTTAGATTGGATATCAGGAAAAGTTTCTTCACCCAGAGGGTGCTTGGGCACTGGAACAGCTCCCCAGGGCAGTGGTCACAGCACCAGCCTGACGAAGTTCAGGAAGTGCTTGGACAGTGCTCTCAGGCACATGGTGTGACTCTTGGGGTGTCCTGTGCAGAGCCAGGAGCTGGACTTTGATGATCCTTGTGGATCTCTTCTAACTCAGAATATTCTGTGATTCATTTAGAAATTATTTCTTTGAGGCTAAGCAGTTGACTCTAAATTAATATTCCACCATTACCACAACAAATGTGTTCTATAACTGTGGTAGAAAACAGTCAATTACCTGCTTCTGGGTTGGTCCTTTCTTTGTGAAGCATCCAGCAGAGAAAAATTCTGGGTACTGTATGAATAGAGGAGAAAAAAAAAAGCAGAAAAAGACAAAAAAAGACCAACAGTAAATAAGAGGGAGAAAAAAGGTATCTCCAAACACTAAATTATATATATTTTGTGCTTTGAAAACTTACTTTTGTCAGAAGTTTTCTTCCAAAGTTAAACTTCACCAGAAGAAAAAACAACATGCCCAGAAACATCAGCTTGATAACAGAGCCAAGACCACCTACAGTCGCATAAGCGCCATACTGGACCTGAAGCAAGAATGTATTTTCAGTGATAGGATTTACATTAATTTTTTCCATCAACTGATTTTTATAAATCAATCTACCCCCTAAGTAAGATGCAGTTATTTTGTACAACATACATCAGTTTAAACAGGGCCTTAAACAATTGTCTTAGTTCTGAGGAACTGTTTGAAGAATGCTTCCCTTTATCATTCATTCTGGGAAGACAGTGTAACTACAGAGTGAAGAGGGAGCACACATGGTACACAAAACTTTACACGAAGATGTGCTTTTCATCCAATTTCAGCCTTCTTTCCTTAGATCTTTCTTTTCTCCTCCTTATGCTTTTTTTAAAGAAGAATGGAAATAGCAATGGCAAGCCTTTCTCATTTGTAGCTTCCAAGTGCATTTTTAAAGCACTGTCTCACCCTCATTGCTTAACTGATGTCTGTGATTCTGCACAGCAGTTACAGAGATTGTTGGTGCTCATGTCCTCTCAGGAAACCACGGAAAACAAAAATTAATCATCTTTTCCACACCATTACTTCACACTGCCTTTACTCTGCACACTGGAGACTCAAGCATCAAAGAAATCTTAAGATATAACTGAGCATCATATGAATTCTGTATCAGAATATTTACTACACTGTACTGAGCTGGCTATAGCTACCACTGACTACAATTATGATGCTTTTAGAAGCTCTGCTAATATAATTTAATATATTTATCATGAAGGCTATGTTTCAAATATTCCTGTGACTCAATGTTTCCATTCCCTACAAATACATACCCAGAAATCAGACAGCAGGAGAAGATACAACAAGAAAAGTCTCTGCACAGAAGCAGAATTTAATATATTTATCATGAAGGCTATGTTTCAAATATTCCTGTGACTCAATGTTTCCATTCCCTACAAATACATACCCAGAAATCAGACAGCAGGAGAACCCGACATGACAATCTCATAAGTATCGTGTTACCAAAGGCAGGCTCATCAGCCACAGTCTCAAGTAGCATGATACAGGCCAGTGCACAAATAACAGTAACTTACAGGTGTTTGCTGCAACTCGGTGTGCAAATAACGCTGAGTTCTTTTCACAACAGAACCATCAGATCCCATGAA